CTTTAAGTGTCCCTTTAAGGAGATTTTAAGGTCTAAATTTTTTTACCTATACATATTTATTCCACTCAGTTAATGTGTGATTTATTTATTTTCTATTATAAGTTTTATATCGTGATATATGTCGTTACCGCCCCTCATCATAATGTATATCGTGATATGAATTTTTTGCCATATCACACATTCCTATTGGATCGAGTATGTGGAGCCCTTTAGTTATGTGAGATTTATTACAGGCACATCTTGTTCATTGTGCATATTTGTTTCAGATCAACAGCCTTATGCTGTCTGATACAGATGTTGAAAATTCAACACTTTATTGGTGGGCTTCCCTGGCAAAAATTGGCAACACCAAAACAAAGATTAGTAATGCCACATTGTTCATGCTGTACCATCTATAAAATAACCATTTCAAACTTTGATTTGTGTCATTTATTGTATGCTTTTGAATCCAGTCACATACAATATTGCAAACTGTTTAAAAACATAGACAGGGGTGCTTGCCTGGTCCAGAAGAGAAATAGCAGGTGCTGTAGCACCACCCAAAGTCTGTCTGTACACATCAATCCCATCACCAAACTGCTCTGGTCCTTATACCGTATGAAATCATTGGCGGCTATGGCAGAGTGGTTAGGGGAGTTGTCCTGTAACCAGATGTACTTGTAGCTTACCATCATCAATATATGAATGAGTCTGTGAATGTCTAAGTGTAAAGCACTTTGGGGGTTCCCATGGGGCTTGATAAAGCACTATTTAAGTTCAGTCCATTTACCATTTTTACCATGAAATGGGTTTATTTAAATGTTTTTATACAAACAAGTTTGGGAACAAAGTGAACACACAAAACAAGTAGTCTAATCATCACATGTTGGAACTATCTGACCCTCTTTCTTCAGTGTCCTGTCTCCGACAATCTTTTGTAGTTCTGCTGTAAAATGTGAGAATGGTTGCATTAGAAATTTAACCGTCAAGTTTTAATGTGGTTCCTCCAAATGCATAATGAAGTGTTATAACCTTTGGCCATAAATACAACTTCTTATATAATAAAAGGCTGGGTAAAAAAAATAGATTCAATCGATCTTGGATCAATTCTGACAGGAGACAAGACACTTCTTTAATAAATTATGATAATACCACCCAGCAATATTATGCTATTGTCATTTAATCAGCAGCACCTGGCTGATACTGAACGTCTTAAATCCTGTTGAAGCAGCACAGCTGGAGTGAATTTCTCATGCACAGATTTTACATTTAATTTTTTAGATCAATTATATTTGTATTGTGTTTTGTTTCACTTTAGGTGAGATTTTAATTTTTTCAGAACTTCAACTTTCTGTATTAAAGCAAAATGAAATGATCTAAAACAATAACTATAGCAGAGTTATTTCAAATGTTTGTTTTGAATTTTCAAGGGGTATTCAAGTTTGTTTTTTGTTTTACTCTTGGTTGTACTGACCTAATTCTGTGTTTCAGCCTGCTTCTGGTGGCAGGTGGCACGGTGCTGAAGATATGTGATTTTGGGACAGCATGTGACATTCAGACCCACATGACCAATAACAAAGGAAGTGCAGCATGGATGGCCCCAGAGGTATTTGAAGGCAAGTATCTGCAGCATTTCAGCTGTTAGAAAAGTTTATTACCATCACTTTTCTCAGAACTACCACAGATGTGTTGGCAGTTTTTTCACTTTTGTATTTCATCTTAATTTCCTCTTAGAGCTTTAGCATGAGCAAGTTGATTAGCAAAGAGAATCTAAAATATTATCTTTGTGAAATAGCCTAGCCAAAGTGTCTGAACAAGTGGAGCAGATAGGTGTTGTCCAGTGTCACAAGTGGTTTATTTACAAAAACTGTGACTGAAAAAATATTTACAAGAAATATTCTAAAAATTTTCTTAAAAGATAAATTGTCAAAATCAAACCAACCAAAATTAATGTTACATGTACATAACTACTCTGACCTGGTTCTCTCCTCTTCTMTTCCTTTCTAAACAAATGTTAACTTAATAAAACTTGTCAAAATTGATTTACAGAGTTCCAGCAGATCCTTAAAAAGTCTTAACAGGCTTGAAATTCATCAATCCAAAAATAAGGCCTTAATTGACCTTAAAAGGTCTTAAAGGGGACCTATTATGCAAAATTCACTTTTTAAAGTTTTTTTTACTCAATTTTGGGTATGTGCTTCTTAAAAAACAGTCCTAGGACCAAAAAAATGCACCCAGGGGCATATTTACTGTAAGTAAATGTATTTGTAATGTGTATCAATGACAGGTTTTATACTTCCTACATTTTGTGATGTCACAAGCCGTACGACAACCCACCGGAACCTGCGTTCAGCCCCTTACCTAGCAACYCCCGAGTGAGGTTCCACCTCCAGTATAAAAAGCTATCATGGTTGTTGTTGTGCAATGTGTAGTTCATTTCACAACAAGCCTCCAATAGGGGAATGGGTAGAGTGTTGGACCAGAGAGCAGGGGACCAGGGTTCGAGACTGACATGGGCACAAATGATTTAATTATTTATTTTTGTTCGTTATGAACTCATTTTCTCATGTACCTCTATTGTTTTTAGCTTTAGCCTATTTGTTAGAGTTTCTGAGGTATTTTGACCGCTGCTGCTCCAATTACCTGCATGCAGAGTGAGCGCAGAGCTCCGACACTGGAGGAGGGGGAGAAAAAAAAAGCTGCGACCACGACTCTGCCTATGGGTCTGACTCAGGGTCTCATATATACGGTTGTACAACGGAGCTTCTGCTATTTCTAGCCATGCTAACATAAACACTGGCTCTGGAGGACGGAGTTTGGAGAGTAGTGCTGTACCAAACGATTATTTTTCTAATTGATTAATCTAACGATTATTTTTTCGATTAATCGATTATTCTAACAACAAATCTATAAGTTATTCTGATGTGAGTGCACTGGAAATTTAAAATGTTTTCATCAAATTAACAAGAACAGTTCTTTAATGTAATATTTTCTTTAATAGTTTTTCATGAACACAAAATATGCACTCTAGAGTCAATTCTTTAACAAAAAAAGCTTGAAAGATTTAACATCAACATAAAATCTCAACCAAAGCAAGTAAAAGAAATATAGTGCAAGATGTTAACAATATAACAAATGAACTAAAACATGCAAAATTCAAGTCACTCTCTGGAAAACCTATAATAAACAAATAATAAACATTTATTTATTATTTTTTATTTAACATATTTCTCAATATATAAAATTTAACAAA